AAAAAGGTCATCTTTTGAAGACAGCAAAAGTCCAGATTGTGGATAGAGAAGACCATTGGGTGTGAAAGAGGGGTAAAAGAATCCATCTATGTTAGATTTGAATACCCTTTCCTCAGCAGATGGGAAGGAATAAAACACCACCTATCTTCAGTTTATAACACAGTCCTTGCAGCAGTTCCAAGAAGATTCTGCAACCAATTGTATCCTGATTCAGGTGACCCTGAGGGCAGAATAAACCCCCAAGTGGTCTCAACAGCTCTCAGAGTGCTAACCACCAGATGACTGCAAAGAAATACAATCTTTTCATCCCCCACACCATCCTATCAGAGCTTATCCTTCCATCCCTCCACCATCCAATCTTTAACTGTTAGTACCCCTGCCATCAGAACTGATGAAACTTCTTGGATAAAAAGCAAAACAATTTCTTCTTCTTCCTCAAAGAAGAAACAGTCCAGTTGCCTTTTGAAGAAAAAAGCACCTTTGAAACAACTATGACCTGGATGTGAATCTCCACACTGCTCCATAAGCTCCTCTAGCTGCCAATGCACTTTTGATTTTAATTCAAAGTGCTGGTAGTCAACTTTGAGGATGAGTTACTTATGGGACTATGTCTCCGCAACTGTAGGTATCCATCCTGTAGATCCATTAAGAGGCATGCTCCAGGTTCCATTCATCAGAAATGTCTTGCAGCTGAATCCATTAAAAAATATTTGTCATCATATTCAACCTCTGCAATATCAGTCACCTGGAGATCAAACTTATCCCAACCCATTGACTTTTAGCAAGGCTTTGAAAACCTGGTTTTGACATCAAGCTTGAGGTCATGGAGGTATGGGATAGCCATTGGATGGCTTTATTAATTCTTGTGATGGGTTGGTTTCTGGCTGATATTTTGTCATTTATACGTAATTTTGTTATATTGCTTTTATTCTGTTTTTAAGTATTGTTAGCTGTCCAGTTATATTTTTAAGATAACCACATAAATTTAATCAATAAATAAATCCTTGTCATATTTGAGTTCATAGTGTTCTGCAAATTTATAGAGAAATATTTAACATGTCCATTGGCATAAGAAGCATGCTAATAAAGTACAAATTACAGATACTCTAGTGGCAGTGGAAACACTAGCCCCTTTATAGAAACTGTAAAATGCTTCAAAGCATACATTTACTAGAGTGAAACAGACTAGCTTCTGAGTAATTTCTGAGTATTTTTCACTGGGAATTATTGAAATGATGTGATCTAACAAGGTAGATTAAAGGGAGTGATAGCATGTCTCCTTGCCCCATCTGTCTGTCTTTCCATCTTCTACCATCATTTGCTTAGTGTTAGACATTTTACACAGATTTTAAGTTGTTGGATTACTTTTTTAAAATGCAGATATCAGCCAAGTATACCAGTTTATTGAAAATCAAATATTTCTGTAAACCAATACACAGAACATACAATGTATACACATTAAATGAAGGACAGTTATTATTTGTATAATACCTTTTTCAAGTCTAGTCAGCTGGTGACCGGAGATAAAATTGCTATGTTCAGAGTCTTCACAATCATATTCCTCTAAAGGTTCTGCAGAGACTGAAGTATTATCTCGTTTTGAATAAATAAACTGAGCAGCTAGAATAAAATAAGAACAGAACAAGGATCATCTGGGGGAAATGTCCATAATTAATTTGTCTTTCTATTCTTAAACTTTTGATGTCTTTTCAAAAACTACAAATATTTATTACCAATTCACAATAGATATTGTTCAAATCTGATTCTAATTTCTATAGTTTTATTCTTGGCCATTTGTTTAATTATGAGGCTGGGACAATTAGTTTGTCTTTTAAATGTTTCATCGAATTAAAAATTTTCATTACAGATGATGAAAGAGTATTTGTTCTTAGCATAATCATATGGTACTAATAATCCCCAAAGTCATTTAAAATACATCCTCTAATTATATATGAAGTTTATACTAAATACTACATCATTGGGAAACTTTTTTCAATCAAGGTACTTCAAATGAAGTAACTTACAGAAAGAGTTCAAAATCCAGGACGCATGACTCCAGTGGAATTGTAATTTGGAAAATTTTATAAAACATTTTATGTCATAAAAATTACTACAAAGCATTTTATGACATAATGAAAAATGTCATAACATTTCCTGTGAAACTTCTGTTTGATTGCGCTATAGAGTTCAACATGGACTACTTTTAAGCAGATACATCTTTAAATATCTTCCTGAATTTTTAAAAACTTTTGAAGATCTGCCATGTTGAAGGTATTGAGCAATCTGTTAAGGAATCTCTGAAACAATAACTCAACAGGTCACAGGTTTTCTAGTTCAGAGTTCCCCAACCATTCTGGGTTGGTGGCCTGGGGAGGGACACCTTTATGCGTGCATGTGCACGTGCAAATGGGGCTGCAAGTGTGCACACGACGCAGTGTCGCAGGCACGCACGCTTGCAGTGCTAGCGCCTGTGCAATGCTTGCAACGCTAGCACAATTGGAGGGATGCATGTTTGTATTGTCCAGCCCCTCACACAGCCTGGTGGCCAACAGGCCAAGGCCCAGTTGTGGGCCACAGCCCACAGGTTAGGGACCTCTGCTCTAGTTCATTCTAGTTCCCATACTGCAGAGAGGTAGCAGTCTAAAGTTATACATCAAATGTGCAAACCTATGCCATAAAACAATAATGGCAAAATGTAATGCAAACCTGTTGATGGTGAGATGCAGTAATCATCATCTACAGACTGCCCATAAAGGTCATCGTCTTCAAAATCTGAAGCACAAAAACAAAACCAACCTTCTCATAGCTGTAGTTTTGAATAATAGTCTTATTTTATTCTAGCAAGCATTAGGATACATTGTAATTAAATAGCATTTCCATTTGAGTCCTTTTAAATATAAGCATTAAAGACAATTTAATTCCCGAATTTCTTTTATTTACATCTTCCTGAATATACATTAGGTCTTTTCAGATATTTTTTATTCCAATACATTTAGAACTTATAACTTGCCCATAAAAAACAATAAACAATAAGTACCAAATTCTGCAAGAAAGGTTTCAGACATTTTTAGCATTTTTCATTTTTCCAATGTAGTTTCAGTGTTTAAAGCAGAATATATTCTGCTTGAGGAAATAAGCTTGAACTACTGTGTTAATATTAAATATTAATATAATATAAACTTAATTTTCCAAATTGCAGAATTTGAAGTATTTTAAAAGTTCAATCTCAATATTTAGATATTGAAAATAAGCCAATCTCAACAGATCAGGCCAATTCAAATGCTTTATTTCACAAGCAAAAGCCCTTTCTGTACCAGACAGTTGCAACTAGGAAGCAGATATAGCGATTGACAGAGGGTACCTGTTTTACCTAGGCATGCATACTGTATACACAGAAGATATTTCTTCTGGTGTATCTGCTATTCCTTCTGGTGTATAAGTTATTCTTAATTTCAGAGGGCATGCAAGGAGAAATTAAATGCAAGTGGGCAATTGCTTTGATAGCAATCTTTAAAGCCGATGTAATACCATCACTTATAGTAACCTAATAGGAGCATAATACTTAAGTTTAAAAATTATTTATTTTCACAGTCTGTATGGAATTATTACATTCCTGAACTTCGGATGAGGGTTTAAAATATTGTTCTCTTATGTTTATGCTAAAATAGAATAGTGTAGATAAAAGAGTCACAATATAAAAGAATAACAACAGGGATGAAATAACAATGATGTTTAAAAACAAGATATGTTGGGGGGACTAAAGGATCCTTTTGGTTGGTGACATGATTTAACGCAGTATTAAGTACATATTTAAAAATCTGAAAAGGTGCACTTGCAAATCATTGGACAAGATTTAGAAATAAAAGTTTACCATTCGGATTTAAATCTCTCATTCAATATACGCTTGTTTATGAATCCAAAACCTGTTTTGGATGCAGGCATCTGAATAGTTTCTTAAATGTATCCAAAACGTGTGACCGATTTGAACCAGCTTAATGTTTAACAGGGGACACTCAAACGGAAGCAAGCTTTATTATTACATCTGGGTAGCTCACTTCTGTGTTGCCTCTTCTGTAAGAACAAGATGTTATCTCCGCTTCCTTTCCACCCAGGCAACCAGTCCACCCCTACGCTCAGCTGTGAGATAACACAATCACATCTACGCACGACCCTCCGCCCCCACCCTTTTCTTTTCTTTTTTCTTTTTTGCCTCTAGCATTCATTCATCAAAGGCATCCCACGGGGAACCTCCGGGTAAACGTCGAGTTGTTTTCAAACACCGTACTTTGTTGACGTCCATTTATCACACGGAAAGGAAGCAGTCTGTCAAGATTTGAGCAATGGAGACCACTCCGTCTGGCTTCAAAATCACCGGGCCTTTCAGTGCCATAAGACGGTGTTTGGGAGATAAGTAAAAACTGGAGGAAAGCCACCTTTTTCCGAATTAGCACCTATCCACGTAAGCCGGCCTAGCTGATAACAAGCAGCCCTCCCTCCGGGGTTCAGGAGCCGGACCTGCTTTGGCTCCCTGCCGCTTCCCTCTCCCCTCCCCACTCCCCTCTCTCTCCAACCCCCCCTCCACCCGCAGGCTGACCGTTAGTGATGTCACTAACGCTCCTCGCCCCGGCCTTGGAAGGCAGGTCCTCTCGGGAGGAAAAGGGGCGCTTCGAAAGGAAGGCAATAAGTTCTCACAGAGACAGCAAGTTGCTCTACCTTCGTCGTAGTTGTAGCCACGGACATTTCTGTGCCGGGCCATAGCGGGCGAGCTGAGGAAGATCTGAGGTAGAATAGAGAGGCGAGGCCTCCGAAACCCCCCTCAAACTAGGGTACCGTAGTAACCCCGGGCCGCCATATTGTTGACTTGGGCCTACTACCACCGCGCCCCGCCTTCAGCTCCGTCGGCCTTTCTGCGCCTGCGCTGACCTCCCTTGTCTACCCCGACTGCGCATGTGTGACCTCGGTGCTTTTTTTTTTTTTTTCCCTCCTCGCCCCCTCCCCTCTACGATTGTCGACTCACGAACTACTAGGGGAAAGCCGAGTGTTATAGTGCCCCCTTTCGGCCGGGCGTCGTTCTCTACATTGCAACGGGTCCAGTGTCGTCGTGGGATGCTGTTGCGGCCAAGGTGTCTCGAGCACTATACAATTGCCTTGTTCGTCGGAGGGTTTGCATGTTTTTTTTTGTTTTTCCCTGAAGAAAATCATTCGCCTTTCAGCTGCATTGCTGCCCATTCTGTCTTCATGCATCTGAGAGTCCACATGAAAGAGTGCTGTGCCCAATTTTAAGATTCAGCTAGGAAAAGTGCGTGTTGTAAGCTTCAGGGGTTCGACCATTGCAGCATCCTCACAGTCACGTGACCAAGATTCAGACACTTGGCAACTGTTTCATATTTATGACGGTTGCAGTATCCCCCGATCATGTGATCCCCTTTTGCGGCCTTCTGACAAACAAAGTCTAAGGGGAAGCTAGATTCACTTAACCTTACTAACTGAACGACTGCAGTGATTCACTTAACTGTGACAAGAAAAGTAAAAGTGGGACAAAACTCACCTAACAAACGTCTCACTTAGCAACAGAAATTTGATGATTGTAAGTCGAGGAATACCTGCACTAACTTAACAACTGCAGTGATTCACTTAACTGGCAAGGACGGTCATAAAATTCACTTAACTGTCTCACCAACAGAAATGTTGGGCTCAATTATGGTCATAAATTGGGGACTATCTATGTCTTAATTCCACAAGGTTTTCCATTCCTGCCAGATATTTCTGAGCTCACTTTAACTCAGTTTAATTGTCTTGTTGCATAGCACTGGGTATGTCACCATTATCTAGCTTGGTATTTCTAGCTATATAATGGGATAATATATTATCTGATATAGTTCTTGGAAGGGAAAAGAAGATGGTGAGATATCATGGCAGTCATGCTAGAGACAATGCTAAGAACACAGTACTTTAATAAACTATTTCAGAGTTATAATTAAGGATTTCTTTCATTCACAGCATCAGGTTACAAAGGACAACAGAACGAATCATATTATTTAAATTTATCTGTAATAAAAGTTTAATTGCTCATTATAAAATATACTATCATTTAAAGACTAATCATAAGATGTCAGATACATTTTTCATTTATAAACCGACTTGAAACCCTATCTGATCAAAGTTCATGCCTGCAACATGTTGATTCTTTTATATCAACATCTTTGTCATTCTGACCTTTTCAAAATTATAATAATACCACAGAGTTGGGGTGGATATTGAAAATATGCGAGCTCTTGATAATGAGGCACATTATCACAAACTTTAAGAGGAACTGTTTACCCCTCATTCTTCAAAAAACTTTTCAGGCATTTGTGAGTATATTACTCCTTTAAGAATCATTATACTTAATGTTTGGTACATGTGACAAAATAAGCACTCGTGATGGTATACATTATAAATGTTAGCATACATTTCACTACATTGTTTTTTGAAAAAGGAAAGTGTAAGTTGTGAAATAGTTTCAGCTGGACAGCTTGTATAAGTCATTACATTTTATCCTTCGTTCTTGTCTCAGAGGAAAATAATAACAATAGTCATCTGATGTAATTGCAGATTTTATATTTCCGGTGAAGTTTCTCCAGTTGGTTATGTTGCACCATTCCAATTTTAAGCTGTTTCTAAAGTCTTGGAAATGAACAGGGATTGAGAATCAAAAAGCGAGTAAAGGAAAATACTACCTTGTTTCTCACAAAATAAAGCCGGGCCTGATTTTTTTTTGACCCCCGAAAAAATGGCTACACCGTCTTTTCAGGGGTGGCTTAATTCCCTCCCCTTGCATCCTCGGGCGGGAGGGCGGCAACGGCTTGGATGTAGACCTCGGCGTTGGTGGGGCACTTCGTATCGGGAGACCTTCCGCCACCATTGCTTTCCCTTCTCACCGTGCTGCCGCGGCGTTTAGAGCAACGCCGCGGCATTTGACACAGCCACACGCGGCCAGCCAGGGCTCCTCCCTGCAACCGGAGCTCGGCGGAGACACTTGGCTTCAGGTGCTCCTGTCGCCGCCTTCCCTTTGCCTTCGAAGGCAAAGCCAATTCTTTTAAAAACGACGCCCTACTACCGGTACGACAAAGCCTCCCCTGCCCGAGAGGGCAGCCCAACCCCATGTGGGGAGGCAAATCTCCCGGGGCCGCAGTGCAGGATCGGCCTACCCCGGGAGAAGCGCCCAGCCGCCATCCCTGCCTGGCACTGGGCAGAGCGTGAAGAGCTTCGCCTGGGGCACCCAGCGCAGCTGACAGGCAGGCCCTCCTACCCGGTGGCAGAGCTCTCACCAAGGCAGCGAGCGCCTCCCCGCCGGGCCCTCTGCTCATCCCGCCAGGGCCGCGCCAGAGCCATGCGGGCTGGGCAGAGCCGGGAAAGCGAGCCGCGGGTGCGTGCCCGCCTGCCAAGCGAAAGAGCCAGGCCAACCTGAGCTTGGCTTCCTTCCCAAGTCCCTCCAGCCTGAACCGGAAGGGGCCACCAGGAGAGGCCGCCCGAGGCAGTGATAGTGCCCACCCATCCGTGGACAGGGAGGCAAGGCGACGGCCTGTGCCGCGTCCTCCGAGCTGAGCCCTGCCAAGTGAGTGCCTCTGCCCAATGCCCGTGCCGCTGGAGCGTTTGGAGTTGCCAGCGCAATTGGAGATGCGTGGGGACGGGGACGGGCTGGGCGAGGGATGGAAAGGACGGGCAGCTTCGGGCTCTCTCCGCCGGACCCGCTGGCTAGGGAAGCAGCACTGCCATCGCCTTGCCTCCCTGTCCGAGGATGGGTGGGCGCTATCACTGCCTCGGGCAGCCTCTCCTGGTGGACCCCTTGGGTTCGGGCTGGAGGGACTTGGGAAGGAAGCCAAGCTCGGGTCGGCCCAGCTCTTTCTCTTGGCAGGTGGGCACGCACCCGCAGCTTGCTTTTCTGGCTCTGCCCAGCCTGCCCGGCTTCAGCGCGGCCCTGATGGGATGAGTGGAGGGCCCGGCGGTGAGGCGCTCACTGCCTTGGCGAGAGCTCTGCCGCCAGGCAGGAGGGCCTGCCTGTCAGCTGCGCTGGGTGCCTCAGGTGAAGCTCTTCGCGCTCTGCCCGGCGCCAGGCAGGGATGGCGGCTGGGCGCTTCTGGGGTGAGCGGATCCTGCGCTGCGGCCACGGGAGATTCACCTCCCCACATGGGGTTGGGCTGCCCTCTCGGGCAGGGGAGGCTTTGTTGTACCAGTAGTAGGGCATCGTTTTTAAAAGAATTGGCTTTGCCTTCGAAGGCGAAGGGAAGGCGGCGACAGGAGCGCCTGAAGCCAAGTGTCTCCGCCGAGCTCCGGTTGCAGGGAGGAGCCCTGGCTGGCTGTGTGTGGCTGCGCCAAACACCAGCAGCACAGGGAGAAGGGAAAGCAATGGTGGTGGAAGGTCTCCCGATACGAAGTGCCCCACCAACGCCGAAGTCAACGCAGGCAGCACCATTTCCGGGTATGCAACAAAAGTACTTCCTAACGGCAAGCCCCCCCTGCCATTCCCCCCCATTTCGCATGTTTAATATATGCCTTAATTTGGGGGGAGGGGCTTAATTTGATTTTATGCCTATAAGACATGCTGGGACTTCCTATTGGGGGAGGCCGTATTGTTGGAGAAACACGGTATGAGTTCTTGTGTGTTTAAAATCTTAGTATTCTGTACTGACTTTCTGGGCAGAATATTCTTCTCTTGGGTGAATTTCACTATAAAACTTAAATAACTGAAAGTTTTAATGTCATAGCAAAGTAAAAAATAGTTGCTGCTGCATTCTTATTCATTTAAATAGGAAACTTTGTTCTGATGAACAATTATGTATCTTTAATTTTATATTGATATGCAGGTAGTCCTCAAATTACAGCCATTTGTTCAGTGATTGAAGTTACAAAGGTACTGAATGAAGGGACTTACGACCTGCGTCCAAAATTATGGCCATTGCAGGGCCCTTCCGTCACATGATCAAAATGTGAGTATTTGGTGGCCCACACACACACACCTTTGGCTGCAGGAACACTGCAACTGCCCAACTGGCCTATGTCCCTTCAGTTGTGCCCTTTGGCTTTGGGATGAGCCCTCAGCTAATAATAGGTAAAAATTCACTTAATGATGGAAATGGGGATGACCAGGATTGCGGTTGCGGTCATGTAACATTTTGCTTTACAATTTCATCACTTAGCAACTGAAATTCTAGGCCCCATTTTGGTTGTACATTGAGGACTACCTATAGCCGTGATGGCGAACCAATGGCACGTTCCACTGCACGTGCATGCGCGCTTCCTGCTGGCCAGCTGGTCTTCAGGTCTCTGCCACGCACGCACAGGGGCGCGCATGCACGCATGCGCAGGGGGGTCATGCACGCATGCGCAGGGAGTGGGGCACACGCATGGGGATCATGTACGCATGCGGGGGGGCACACACACGGGTCACATGCACATGCATGGGGGGACATGGGGAAGTGCATGTGCAGGGGTGGGGTGCATGCATGAGGCACGCACGCATTGCATTTTGGGGATGCACATGCACGCTTTGGGTACTTGGTGCTGAAAAGGTTAGCCATCACTGACCTATAGACATCTACTGACATTTTTCCTGTGAATTTGGACACAAGAATTCTAGTTTCGCAGGTGGGATGCCACCTAATATAACCATATTCACATTCACTCTGTTGTCTCTGTCCATTTGTGGCTCTTGAAAAATCTTGACTGAGTGGCACCGTACTGTATACCTTGAAAATAATGGACAAAACATGGTTTCTGCCTGTACCAGCTGAAAGCAAAATCTATGGTAGCAACTATGTACTCTAAAGCTGTACTGTTGAAGGTACAGCAAAGAAATTGTGTTCAAAATTACATAGTCTTTTTTAACAATGTATACATGCAGATCATTTTCTCATTTCTAGACTGCTGCTTCGCTTTTTCCATACAGGAATGCAAACTCACTATATATGTATATCTTAATTTAAACCAGTCTTCACTTCCATATGTTCCACCGTGTACACTTAAGAGTATATAGAGGGATTTGGATGAACCTTAATTTCCTGTTGAGATGTGCTTTACTCATAGATAGATCAGATTGGAAAGATGCTGGTTTGTACAGTAAAATAACTATAAGAAAATAAAACAATAATAAATGTTAACTAATGATGCCTAAATTTACTTT